CCTTCCGACCCTTAATCTATGAAACTATGAAACTATGACTGTTATTCCCTTCCCAGCTCCCTGCCACGTTACCTGCTAAGATGTTGCATGTGACAAAAGTGAGAGACAGGCCCATTTTTACCATCCTCTAATTCAGGATGCCTCAGTTTGGGGTGCATAATGTTGTCCCCTGGGGCCTGATTTCCCATGGCACCTTTGAGCCCCAGGAAAGATATTAGATAGTAGCAGGTGTGGATGCTCAGCCCTGTGCTGGAAATGTGGACTCCTGAGCACAGAGGTGAGCATGGTCACAGGGAACTGCACCCCAGGACTCATGTCTGCTTGAGCTAAGGGCCTGCACTCAGGTGTAGTCTCTGGAAACAGATGGGAGTCTAGACCCATGGCAAACCATAGCCATGTCTTGGGCTTAGCCTTTTCCTCACTATTGAGTAGATCCAGCTGAGCAGCCACACAGCCCCAAAAAGGCTCCCTGGCCCGCTGCAGCCCTGAATGCCAGCAGCATGGAGAGCAGCCTCTGCCAGAGTTTCCATTCTGGAGTCCTGAGGGAGCAGCCCAGAGTAAGGGTCCAGACTCACCAGCATGCTTGGGGCAAAGGAACAGCAGGGTCACTGCCCTACAGCACAGATCAGCAATCACACCTCAGAAAAGGGCCAGTGCTGGAGCTGGAGAATGGTCCAACCCTTTTATAGGCCTGAGCATGAGCTGGGAATCTTAGTCCCATCACACCGAAGGGCTGAGGAGAAGCCAGTGGCAGTGTTTCCAGCTGGATACTTCCAACCATCCCTGCCAGGTGAGGGTCACAATACCTGGCTGTCTCCCACCCAAGGTAGGAATGGAGGACACTGCCCACAAGAGGATGCTGGAAAGAGGTTTATTGCAGAGCAGGAAGCAGGAGGAGCTCAGGGTTTGGAGTGGGTGCGCTATGCTGAGAGTGGCAGAAGCATCTCCCCATCTCCCAGAGAGCACAGCTGGGTGCAGGGCTGTGCCCTCCATGCCTGGTGCCTCAGTAGCCATTGGCACTTGCCTGGAAGACTGATCAGCCTCTTCTTGGGGTGAAAATCAACAGGGACACACCAGCCTCCAGCCCCAACCACAGAGTGGGTTTGGGCAGCATCCATTTCAGCTCTTCTCCCCCTTTATCCAACAGTGGACAGTGTTTTCTGGGGCTAAGACATGGGCTGTGCAATGTTGTGTCTCTGTCTGCTCTAGCTGTATTAGTTTGGTACTGGGATACTGCACACCAAGTGGGCCACTGAGACACAGGAAGGGACCTGGGCCCCAGATCCTTGGTGGGAGGACACCAATCCAAGCAGAGCAGGGCCACTGGAAGAGAAGATCTCTGCATGGCAGGATCCTGTGAGGACATGAACTTAGTCTGGGAAAGGAGATACCTCTTGTGGGGGAGAGGTGGGACTCTGTGTGCCAAAGGGGGGATGTGGGGCACAAGTAGGACAGGACCAGTCTGTCTGGAGGAGGCAGCAGCTCTGCTCCTGTCTGCTCAGGGTGGAGCCCTGGGCACGGGCTGGGGAGAGACCAAGCAGGGACAGGAGCACAGGAAAGGGGACTGGGCTCCACTGGGGGACATATCAGTCCAGGTGTTCTCTACTGGCCCTGCTCTGCCTGGGATGCCCCGTCCTTGTCACTCGTTAGGTCCTCTTCATTCAGGAGTGGCCGCTTCCTCTTGAAAAAGCCCATCTGCAGTAGAGGACAGAATGGTTATTAACAGGTCTCTGACATCCCCAGACTGCACACCCCCAGAGTGGCCTGGGCCAGGAGTCATCCCTACTCTGGGGCCCCACTGAGCTAGTTGGGGTCAGTTCCGCAGGAGATCATGCCACACACCAGACTTGTCTCCCCAACGACTGTGCCCCCACTGCCAGACCTGGGCTAGGCTGCTCTCCCCATAATCATCCTGTCCCAGCAGGCCCCTTGAGTGTAGGTGACATGCTGGTGTCTGAGGCCTCACCTTCCACATGACAAAGATAAAAAGGGCTAAGAGCAGCAGCCCCGCCAACACAGCCAGCACTATCCACCAGGTGGGGATCTCCTTCTTGCCATCGGGGCTCACCCGCAGCAACTGCGTGTCAGCCTGGAGAGGGAAGACAAATTAATGCCTGGGCCAACAGCAGGGTCTAAGGTGGCCACTGTGGGGCCTGCTGAACTCAGAGCTGATTCCAAATGACCCCAATGGCATGATGGGCTGGGATCCCCCACACCAGCCAGGCCCACAAGGGGCTCAAAGTCTCCATCCCAGGTGCATTACCCACATCAGCTTAGCACTACCCCCTGACCCTGCAGTACCCCTCACTTTGTGTCATAGCCTCCCCCAGGGGACAAGGGAGCACTGGCCAGTGCAAGACAGGCCACCAGAGCAGGACTCTAAGTCCAGCACAGAGGCTG